CTAGGACTTAATAGGAGCATTTGCAATGAGAATATAGTTACTTTCTTTGGGTCAGCAAATGCGTCTGGCATGCTTTGCAATATATTGCAAATGAATTATCCTTTTATGAACTTCAAGTTCATATTATCTTATTTGAGGATCTAGATGTACAAATGATAATTCATTCCACGTAACTTTTTCTCAATTGTTTATCATGTCTCCCCCTCATGTTAGAAAAACTAACTTTCTTTCTCAATTTTGGTAACCCATTTTTGTGCATTATAGTGTTAATCAAAATACACACTGCACATCAATAATAATAATAATAATAATAATAATAAGATGGAATTATTTGGTTCCTGATCCAGAACCACTCGTGAGGGGAGAATGTAATATACTTTCGTATATAACCTATATCAAACTGATATAAATAACTTTGTTATCATAAAAAATAGTTTAGCTATTAAGTGGAGGCACTCAATAAATCATTTTGCTAAACCAACTGTGATGTAAACCAACTGTGATGTAAACCAACTTATCAAGATAAACTATCTTGAATAGGAAATCTGGAAATTATGCTCGAAATTAAATTATTGAGCAAGTTACCTCGCACACACCGGCCAGGTTGCGGGTTAATAATAATTGCACATGTAACCATCTCATAGATGCATCTTATGTGGTATACATGGCGGGTGAATGGGCCCATATTCACCTTTGATATTTCCAGCATTCATGGGATTTAATCCCAATTTTAGTTGGTCAATTAATTAATGAGAACAAGCATTATAAGAGAATTCGTAAAGAACTTTCTAGTTCTTTAATATTTACCCATGTGAATTCTCGTTTATTTTTGACATCATGCTTAAATTAATATGGCTAAACCAATTATGCCAACTGAATAAATTATCAATATTGATAAACTTCGGATTTACACCATGACGTGTGCAATTATCAATAAACTCCAAGTTTATTATGATATGGGTTTTTATATCAATAAATATCCACTTTATTGTGGTATTCTTTTGTTTATGTAGTACAAGTTGGAGAATAAAGCGGGTAGCTTTTCACATACATATTATCCCGCTACAAGTTGTAGTAATAGAAAATATTAAATCTTTCCTTTATTTATAGTCTCAATATAATCAACCGCTTTTGCGTATACTTTGGAAACTGAATAAGTTTCTTTGAGACTTACTACAACACAATACCTTATTGATAATCAATTTTATTCCTCCAAAATAATAATAATTGGCTCTTCCAGAGCTCTCAATTAATTTTGTACTACCACATATTCATCAACATCATATGGTGAATATCTCTTTTAAAGAGAAAGTTATATCATTATAGTCATGGTCAAAATTATATGCAAGATCTGTTTCTTGCATTAATGTTATTCTTTAATAATCACATTACCAAAATATTTTGGCGTACAATAGGTACGTGACCAATGACCATTCATGTCATAATAATGACATTGTTTTCTTATATCATCTCAAACCTCCTTTTAGAGGTGAGTGTGGTATATTCACTACCACTAGCACATTCATATTCTTTCAAGAATGAATATGTATTCATAAATTTTCATATTTACATCACGAATGGACCATAATCATCTATATGTACTTTATAAAATATCATGTTAAATCGATGACAAATATTACTTTCACAGAGTGAAGGATTATTTTGAGAATCCTTATTATTCTCATTATCACAATGATGACGATTATAATTTCGTCTAATACCACGTCCACATCCATTGATACCTTCACGGTAATAATTTTGTCTTCTTTCAGACTTATCACATACTGCTATCACATTCTCTTAAGTGAATGAGAATAAAGCAAATTCAATGGGACGGGTATGCACTTCTTGTGCCCATAATCATACATAAATTTGATCATGGCAACATATAGAAATTTTACCACTTCAAGTGGTTATAATTTCTTACTAACTCCATTAGAGTTATAATCAAATTTTATTGTCTTTGCTTGTATTTAAAATTAAATTATAGAATAAAAAAGAAAAATACGGTAAAACAATTACCTTAAATCCAGAATTAAATCATGAAGAAAGTCCATGGAACAAGTGACAATCATTATGCTCAATCCCAAAGTTTCTACTCAATTGGTTAGAGTTTTGTGCTGATAACGTGTTATAAAACAATAAAAGAAGAAGAATAGTATTACAGAGAAAAGTAGAGAGAGAAAATTCTTATTGATTTGGAATGAATTACAATGGAATAGAACCTTCTATTTATAGGGAGAAAGTGACTTAGCCACCAAGCAATGAACCCTAGAATCTCTCTAAATATAAACATTCACCATAAATACAATTCTATTTATAATAATGTTCATATTATTGCAACATACATTGATAATCATTGAATTCATATCTGATATTCACTATCTTTAGACATTATCCGTACAGTCGATATCCCTCAACATTGGATCTAGAATTTATTATATTTAACTAAGATTCATCCCTCATCTCATCATTAATTGGTTTAACAAAAAGGCTCGACACGTTTTGGTCAAACAATTACATCTCCGCTTCTGCTCCTTTCGGAAGAGGTCCTGGCCACCATTTTGGTCAAGACGCTACGTGCACCAACTTAAGTTACTCCCTCCGGTCTACAATAAATTACCATTTTACCTTTGGCACACCTATTAAGGAAATACGAACTCCTAGAGAAAAAAAAAAAGATGTATCCACTAAATTAACCTTAATTAAGTGTTACCTTGACACTTTGGAATATATAAATAAGGCCAAATTTTGAAAAAATAAAATTAATTCCTTTTTGATTATGGAAATGGACACTTATTTTGGACCAAAATAAAAAGATAAAATGGTCACTTATTGTAGACCGGGGGAATACTGAAAAGAATAGGTAACAACTGTTTATAAGAAACATAATTTGATACTTAAAAGTATTACTTATGATAATGAATTAAATTATATTTAAACAATTACAACAAAAGGTGGCAATCAGAACCAAGGAAATAATGCGCGGCTTGTTCTCAAAGTAGAGGTGAATAGGCAGTTGAAACGAGTGGTGAAACCAACAACTCCTTAACAAACCACTCATGCATTTCTTGTGGAACTCTAGAGGCAGAGAGCTAGGCCCCATCATCCTATTCTGTTTTTGTGGATGCAATGCTTGTCTTCATTTAAATACTACTACTTCATAGACAGTATACCCCACAGATCCATGCGACTTTAGAGTTTAGACTGATTAAGAGGTCATTTCTTAAAGAATATCTCATGGCAGGTGGGCACTAATGCTTATTACTTGTCATTTATTCGCTGTGGGACTCGATTAATTGTTGCAAAGTCCTATCTTAGGGATAAAGCGATATTTATGAAAAATAATTTCATTCTGAAATATTGAATGTGAAATCTCTAGTTAAAATTGGAGGAGTATTCTATCTCACAGCAATCTTTGGCGACACTAATGCTTATTCTTTCCAATTCTAGAATATGCTAGGTCGATTAAACTATCCTTCTTATATTTTATCAAAGTTATGAACAAAACAAATTGTATGAAAAACCTTAAAAAAGTTAAGACCTTATTGCAAAACATTACTTTCACTGGATCCCAAATTATCCATTACTTTCTTTGGTAATGATTATCCATTACTTTTGATATAGAACACACAAGGAAAACTAGAACCTTACATCAGGACTCTTAGGGGTCATTTGGTTCCATGCTGGGATATCCTTGGAGTAAGTTATTCCATCTTTTATATGGATAACTAATCTTATTATTTTAGTGTAAAATTATCTAAAAATTAACTAATATCCCAAATCAAATATAGAATAAAATTAATCTCAAACTTTATTTCAAAATTATTATCCTTATCCATGTATCAAATGATCCCCTAATAAAGAAAAGAAAGTGCTCGTTCTGATCCTTTATAAGGACTAGTCTCTAGACACGGCAACGCATGTGTATTCCATGAAATCAATATAAACTTCTTAGAATGACATATATATTATTTTAATATGTTTAGCATGAGATATAAAACAAGATTTGAAAGGTAAAAAATACAAGCTAAAATTTATTAGTGGATCCTATATATTAAAGAATCAGGAAATTCAAATTCTCTTGTTCGTCTGTTTAATCTTAGTTGCAAAATAAATACATATTGTATTCTTAAAGTGCTTATTAAAAATATAGAAACAGGAGCATTGAAAATCAAACAAAAGGCGAAGCGTTATCCCCTATTTATACAACAAAGAAGAAATACTAAAGTGCACGGATCAAATTATCTGATTTCTTCTTGAATCAAAAATATGAGAGCACCTAAATTTACCAAAACCGGGTCTTTTAGGTAAATTCATTCGTTGTTTTTTCTCACAATCTGTATATACAATTCAAAGGATTAGTATATGCAACTGTAGTATGTATATAAGAAATAGAATATACAAAATATAGAAAAATATTTTTAGATGAGTGCACACAATTTTTTGGGTTAACACATGTGAAATAATAAGCAAAAAGAACATGCCAATTCATAATCTTATTAACGGATGATACCATAATTTTGTCAAAGAAAAGTGAAAAGAAGGAGTCCATCAGCATGCCTATTCTTCTTGGTAGAACACGGGCTCAAGAAATTGTTTATTATTATTCTAACTAAATGAAGCATTAGATGAATTTGATTAGGAATGCAAAAAAGATTTCACAAGTTTCAAAAGATATAAAATAGATTTATGTTTTAATATAGGAAGTAGTAAAAAAGACTCATTTATTCATGGGAATTGGGATGTTAGGAGCGATAGAAAAGACTCAATTTATTATGAGATATTTTTACTTATAGGTACAATAAAGGATTGATATTTAAATGAAGGATAAAAAGGTCATTCAGTTTTTATGGATATTTTGATAATTTAATTTTATACTTAAATCTTCACACTTTTAGTATATACTTTTAGTATAGTATGATATGATGATGATATGATGATTAAAATGTTTAGAAACCTTGAAATTTTCTTGAAAATACATGGAAAAGGAAGGCAACTAATTGTGCCAAGTATTCCTTAATATTATCCAAATTAAACTACAGAAAGTAGTACACCTCATTTGTCAAACCGTCCAAAGATTTAGTAGAATAAATCAAATCTTATCCTAATCATATGATATGAAATTCACCGACTACAAGTTCTAGGTAAGTAAAAGTAGAAATGACTCTGTATTTACAAGTAAAGAAAAAGTAGAAATGACGTGGTGGTGTTAGCCAACAGAAACGTCAATCAGTGGTTAATCGGACGGCTATGAAGCCTCTGATCGTTCCAGATCAACGCCTACAGTATTCTCGTTGAATCTACAGATCTCGGCGATTACTGCACTGGGTTTCATCATCCCCGAATATCCAGTAGTTTCAACCCGACCCGTCAAGCTCCCTTCAATTCTCTGGATCTTCAAAGGCTTTCTCATCCTCGTTGAGGAGGAGGACGCCGCTTCATCGCCGTCACGCTCCTCCGGCTGCGGCAGTTTACCATCTCCCGATGAGATGTTGAAGTTCCACTATCATCCTATTACAATAAAAAAGACAATTCATCATGATTTAATGCCATAAATTATAAGAAACAAAAAGGAAATTACATCCTCTTTCTAATTTATATCACTACATTTTTTCGTCTGTTCCAAAATATGATAATTTTTAATTTAGAAATAATTTAAGTTAATCTAATTTTTTTTATTGTAGCAAGAGTTAAAATTAAAGTACATACATCATCTTCACGCATTCGCTTCAAAGAAGAATATTTATGGCTATGTACCGACTCGTCGCTGCTCGATGAACTAGCCGGCGGAGGAAGAGTTAATGACCACGGAACAACCTGAATATCCTCCAAATCAATCTCCTCCTCATCTTCACCTTCTCTACCGCTTCTTTCATCATTCACACACCGCTCACACACAGAGACTGTCCGGCCAACCTTCGCTCCGGCGGCCGACCAAGCCGTCGGCGATTGGCACACGTGGCACAACAACGACCTCAAGTGCCTCGCTACCAGAAAATTCACCGAGTGTACCTTTGCATCACAATCCCAACACAAATTCGCCTGGTCCGATTCGCAGTAAATCCTGGCTAGTCCATTGCAAAGCTCACAATTTTTCATCGTTAACAGTTTCTAGAAGCTTCTCTAACCGGGAAAAAAAGTTCTTTTTAAGAGAAAACCGAGAAGGAATTATAGGGCAAGAATTTCGAAGTACTAGTCTGTTTGAAAAGTGAGGAAATCGAGAGCAGTGAACGTGAGAAAAAGAGGACCAACTTGCGGGGGGAGCTGAAACAACCTCAATTTTGAATTAAATCACAAAATTACCACTGTACTTTTTATATAGGGTGAAGGGTATTAATGTAATCTCGAAAAAGAATACAGAAATTCACAAACTGTAAGAGCTGTTTCCTTTGGTTCCAACAGGATATTTTTTGGTTTGGGTGGATGATGTGGCAGAATGAGTTTTGAAGAAGAATCTGATTGGCTGACGTGGATTCATTTGGGCCTAGTTTAAATGGCTGTGGGCCACGTGAAATGCGCCTGAACCAGCAACTAATGGCTGGAGTGTTTATTGGGCCCACGAGACATCATTGGCTGAATAATTTGTTCGTTGAGAAAAGAGATTTTTTTTTTTTAAAATGACACTGTATAGCCGCTGTAATAATAATAGCAGAATATATAAAATTTATATATTTTTATTTATATATACATCTGTATTTGATATAAAAAATTATATAAATTTTATACACTTTTTTGGCTACCATGTAAATAGTTTCTGACGCGGGCTAAAAGTGATAATACCTTTTTTGTTCCTATAAAGTATTTGGAATTTATTTATCAAAATTGTCCTAATTTTATATATCATCCGTCCTAAACAAGAATTGCTTACAATTTATATATAGAGCCCGTTTGGATTAGCTGATTTGAAGTAACTGATAAGCATTAGGTGCTGAAAAGCACTTTTAAGTGTTGAAGCTGATTTAATAAATAAGCAGTTACGTGTTTGGGTACAAGTGCAGAAATTGATAAAAAGTTGTTGCAGTATTTGATAAAAAAGTGCTGATAAGCTCTTTTTCTGTTAAAATGACTTAAATAACCTTAGAACTGTTTACACTTATAAGGGCGTAATTTCTTCAAAATTTTAGATTTCAGATCGATTCAAATACAAAATATTCTATTTGTCATTTTATTTTAAATACACCAAAAATTTGATTTGTCCTCATTTATTAGATACAGTTCAAAGATTAATACACAATCACATAGATATAAGTTTTGTAACGACTCGGCCGGTCGTTTTTGGAATTTACGCCCCGATCCCCCATTAGCTGCTTCCCATAAGTTCATTTCTGCTATTTTGGTTTGCCGGGACGTTCGGTGTTAGGATTCGGAGTGTTTTGGGACACTTAGTCCCTAAATGAGAGCTTAAGTGTTGAAAAATGGTCCATAGTCGGAACAGTGTAAAGACAACCTCGGAATGGAAATCCAATGGTTCCGTTAGCTCCGTTAGGTGATTCCGGGATTGGGAGCGTGTTCGGAATGTATTTTGGAAGTCCATAGCTCATTTAGGCTTGAAATGCCGAAGTTTGCATTTTTGAAGTTCCGGTCCGATAGTGAGTTTTTGATCCGAGGGTCGGAATGGAATTCCGAAGGTTGCAGTAGCTCCGTCATGTCATTTGGGATGTGTGTGCAAAATTTCAGGTCATTCGGACGTGTTTTGGTTAGGTTTTTGATCGAAATCGTATTTGGAAGAAATTTGAAGTTCTTAGGCTTGAATCTTTGATTAAATCGGTTTCCGGTGTTGTTTTAGGTGTTTTAAGGATTGGTACAAGTTCGAATAAGGTATTAGGTGGCATTGGTGCTTTTGGTTGAGGTCCTGGGGGCCTCGGGATGATTTCGGGTGGTTAACGGAGAAAATTTCTAAGTGTTGCAGCAACTGGTATTCTTCTTTCTGGTATTTTTGCTTCTGCGGCCTGGGAGCCGCAGAAGCGGAGTCGCAGAAGCGGTCTTGGACGTCGCAGAAGCGACTTTTGGTCACCTTCCAGGAAACCGCAGAAGCGGATCCGCTTCTGCGAGATGGGAACCGCAGGAGCGGAAGCTGGGATTTTTAAAGGGAGCCGCAGAAGCGGCCAGTGCTTCGCATAAGCGGGACCGCAGAAGCGGTCCCTAGACCGCAGAAGCGGTATTCACTGTTCAGAAATAGCAATTTCGAGGGTTTAATTTCATAAGTTTGAAAAAATCGATTGAGAGCTCAGGAGAAGGCGATTTTGAGTGGGTTTTGAAGAGAAAATTATTGGGTAACGTTTCTTTGATCCCTTTTTGTTATATTTCATCATTATATAGTTAAATACATCATGGGAATTCGAATTTTGGACCAAAAATTGGATAATTTGGGGTAAAACTTCATTGGCTAGACTATTGAGTTTTGAGTGGGCATTTGACCTCCGATTTGGGAGATTTTTATATGGTTAGACTCGTGAGAGTAAGAGAGTTCTAAAAATGTAAAAATTATTCGATTCCGAGACGTTGGCTTGAGGGGCGTTTTGGTCATTTTATCTATTTTCGCGCCCTAGCTTTAATTTTAATAGCGGAATCAGTTGTTGCAATATTATTTACGATATGTAATTGAATTGAACAGATTTGGGCCATTTGGAGTCGGATACTCGTGGCAAAGGCGTGGTTTCTATTGATATCGAGCCGGTTCGAGGTAAGTGGCTTGTCTAACCTTGTGTGGGGGACTTTTCCCCTTAGGATTGTTTCTTGATATTTGAGTGCCTTATTCGTGAGGTGACGAGCGCGTACTTGAGCCGATTTATGAAAAACCGGTTTTCACTTAAGTTGTTGATATTTAGCTTTCTTTCCTACTTGCCTTATCCTACTTGAAATTAAACTTGTGCTAGATTTGGAAAGCATGTTTAGCTGTCTTAACTGCCTAATTGCTTAAGTTGTTTGACTGTACTACGTGAAGCATGCTAGGCTTATTCTATCTGTTGTTCTGTCTTTCGTATTTTATTCCTTGGTTTGTTTCTGGCTGTGGTTGCGCATTTACATTGGGACTACGGATGTGGGATTCCGGTAGCTTCCCCCCCCTCCATTGTTTGTTTACTTTGGGACTACGGGTTCGATTCCCGGTAGATCCCCCCTGCACTTTTACTTTGGGACTGCGGGTTAGATTCCCGATAGATCCCCCTGCATTTTGATGGTTGGACTATGGGACGGTATCCCGGAAGATCCTTCGGTTTGGTATATGAGTTGGACTACGGGACGGTATCCCGGGAGATCCACTGGACAGTTGAGGAAAGGGCTACAGGACGGTATCCTGGGAGACCCTCATTGTTATCATTGGTATTGAGTTGTATTTACTCTGTGTTTGCTCTGTCCTTTTGTGGTTGTTATTGTCTCGTTGACCTGCCTTATTTCACTGCTGTATTTATTATTTCTGTCAGATTATCATACTGTTAATTATTGTTATTACTATATTTTGTCTCAGTATGGCCCTGACCTTCCTCGTCACTACCCAACCGAGGTTAGGCTTGGCACTTACTAAGTACCGCTGTGGTGTACTCATGCCCTTCCTGCGCATGTTTTTCATATGCAGATCATCCAGGTACCTCTACTCAGGCGCACTATCAGTGAGGCAGGAGGACTACGGAGACTTCGAGGTAGATCTGCTGCGTCCGCAGACCGACGAGTCTCCCTCTTACTCTATCTCTAGAACTTAGTTTTTCTTCTTCCTGTTGTTAGATACTCTGGAGTTTGGAGCCTTTAATTTTCGCTTCTGTAGCCTGTGTTGCCCGTGAGTTTCCGGGTTTTGGGGATTGTTTTGAACTTGTGATATTGAGTTGTACATGCCGAGCGGCATTCAGTACAGTTTCTTTTAGTATTTAATTTGGTTTCCTCTATTCTTCCGCAATTATTATATTTCCGCAATATTAGGCTTACCTGGTCGTGGGGACTAGGTGCCATCATGACATGTTTACAGTCGGTGAACTAGGGTCGTGACAAGTTGGTATCAGAGCTCTAGGTTCATAGGAGTCACGGAACACAGGCATGTTTCTTAGAGTCTCGCTGATTGGGACGGAGACGTCTGTACTTATCTACGAGGGGCTATGTAACTGTTTAGGAAAAATCTCCGTTTCATTTGAATTCCTTGTCGTGCGATATTTTGACATCAATTCTAAACTTCTGACTTCTATTCTCTCACAGATGGTGACGACACGTGCCATTCGAGATGATCAGGCACCCGCGCCCCCTACTGCAGCCGTCAGAGGCCGGGTCCGGGGGAGAGGTCGAGGACGCGCACGTGGTGCAGCCAGAGCACCTGCGCGAGCTGCCGCCGAGGTACCACCAGCAGATCCAGCCGGAGCCCAGGCACCTGGCACACCTACTACTGCCACTACTACTCAAGCGCTCCAGGAGATTTTGGCTCAGTTCATGAGCATGTACACCACCTTGGCTCAGGCGGGGTTGCTTTCCCTTGCGGCAGCCACATCCCAGGCCGGGGGAGGAGCACAGACTCCCGCTGTCCGCACTCCTGAGCAGCGAGTGTAGGTTGAGCAGGCTCCCGAGATTATTCCGGCACCGCCTGCAGCAGCAGTTCAGCCCGAGGATGGGTCAGCTGCTTCAGAGGACGAGCAGCGCAGGCTTGAGAGGTTCAACAAGTATGATCCCCCAGTGTTCAGTGGATTAGCATCAGACGATGCCTTGGGATTTCTAGAGGAGTGTCACCGTATTCTTCGCACTATGGGCATAGTGGAGTCCAGCGGGGTTCCTTTCACTGCTTTTCAGCTTCGGGGAGCTGCCTATGATTGGTGGCGCACTTATGAGAGAGACAGTCCAGTCGAGGCTGCTTCACTGACTTGGACCCAGTTCTCGGATATGTTCATGAGAGAGTTTGTCCCCCAGAGTCTCAGGGATGCATGGCTCGCAGAGTTTGAGCATTTGCGCCAGGGTGCTATGACCGTTTCGGAGTATGCTATCCGTTATACCAGGTTGGCCAGGCATGCACTGGCTTTGGTTGCTACAGTTCGGGAGAGAGTTCGTAGGTTCATTGAGGGTCTTATCCCACCCATCAGATCTAGTATGGCTCGAGAGTTGGAGACGGACGTTCCTTATCAGCAGGTAGTGAGCATTGCTAGGAGGATTGAGGGTATGCTCGCCAGGGAGCGAGG